ATATTGATGAGATAAACTTCTGTTCTATTTTGTCTTTATTTATTTTTTTAATAAAACAGTCTAAATTAATTCAGCAAGATGTAGATGCACTTCACACTGAGCTAATGGAGTCTTCCCTAACAGACCTGTCAATGCTCAGCTTCTTTGAGCATTTCCATATTTCTCCAATTAAGGTATGTAATAGAGATACTTTTGGTTAATCAAACACTTGATATCTATGGTCTCTTAATTCCTTATAGTAAATACACCCTGAAGTCAACCTTCTGGGTAATCAAGGTCTTTATTTTGTCTTCCTAATGTTTTTTTTGGTTTTTTTTTTTAATGTTCTCTAGAACTTAACACTTTGGAAAACTTTCTTAGTTGCCCCATGAGTACAAACAGACCCTTAACCATTGCTAAGTGGGAAGAGTCAATGGGTAAAGTAATGAGGAAAGCTAGATAAAATGCTGGCCTGAAGGTATCAAAGTAACGTATGATAAATTGTAATAGAATACAATTTCATAGGCTTGTCTTCATGGCTCTCTTTTTTGCTGAGATTTTTCTTCAAAGGGAAGAAAGATTATCAGTAATTATACATTATTCTGAATCTACAGAATGCTCCCCTAAGGCTTGAATTGAAAGGAAAAAAAAATACTTTTTCTTTTGACTGAAGGTATAAAAGACAGACATAAACTCTAATAGAGTTGATTAAATTCTGGCACTTTTTTCCAACTTCTTACTTATTTCACTAGATATCTGTTAGGGTACACTTAGATTCTTGGATTATTTTCTTTTTCTAATATGATTGAACTTATAAACTTATATGAATGTGAAGCCAGGGAAAACACTAGAGGAAGAAGACAATATTGTGATATTTCAACATTATCCTCTAGCTAGTCTGGTTAAACTTGTTGACAAAACAGTTATAATTTTAAGTCTTTTTTGCATCTTTATTTGAAACGATGATGTGCTGCCTGTAAGTACAGGGAGGGACTTCTTTTTCTCTCCTCCTGTTTTTTGCCCCTTACTTCAGTGATCCGTCCCAGTATTCTAGACTGTAAAAATGGCTGGGTAGCCTTTTGCAAAAAATTAAAATGGGGAGTCTTGAAAAAGTTAAATCATACAAGTTAAGTGCTATGCCCTATTTTAAGGGAGTAGAAGGGAACAAAATCTGTTATGGTGAGGAGCAAGGGAAAAGGAAAAAAATTTTCTGTTGCCCACTTTTTCTAAAAGTGTCTTATCGACACGATAAACAGTCCCATTTTACAGTGTTAAAGACAGTTCTCTAAAGTTCATGTGTTTCCCCAAAAGAGTAACTACATGCAAAAATATATGCAAGTTAGTTAAGTAAATCAGAATTCCTAAAATTTCACTTGTGCTAGGAATTAAGATCCACCTATTTAACAAGTTATTTCTCTCATTGTTTACAAAGAAGTTTACAGATGTAAACATAACAAAAGTTAAACTTCTAGGGCAGTTTGACACTTCGCTGTATGGAAATATAGATAAATACATCTGTTATCAAAGTAATACCATTGTGGGTTCAAGCACATTTGTTGAAATTGTACGTTTCCTCAAAATATGAGTAAAAATACACTTACCGCTGTTTCACCACTGGTTTGTTTACATGTGCACCACACAACCTGTCTGTTGTGTGTGTCTTTTTTATCTTGATTTGTCTTATTTTATTAATTCTTTCTTGACAGTTGCATTTGAGTTTGTCTCTGGCTTCTGGTGGAGAAGCATCAGATAAGGGGGAAGATATGATAGCCATCCATTCTCTGAATTTGCTGTTGAAAAGTATTGGAGCTACACTAACAGATGTGGATGATCTCATTTTCAAGTAAGTTAATAAAGATTTTTTTTTTATATATATTTTTAAATGAAGCTACTATACATTTAATAATTGGTTCCATGATAAACTTTGACTAGTATAAATGTGTACAGCCTTTGAGGAAAGGGAGAAATGGAGGAAAGATGGGGTTTGGGCTCTGTTTTAAGAGAATAGGGCTTCAGGATTATCTGAAGGAAAAAAAGGCAACTAATTAGGAGGAGGAGGAGTATCTATATCTAACGTGTGATTACTTGTCTTTCAGACTTGCTTTCTTTGAAATTAAATACCAGTTCTACAAGAGAGACCAACTGATGAAGAGAGTTGTTAGACATTACAGTGAACAAGTAAGCTTGTTTAGTCAACTTTATGTGTAAAATTTTGAGTAAGTATCTTAAAGAATGCAGAAAATAGGAAAGGAAAGGTGAATACCTCTAAAAGCAACTAATTTTTTACTTCATGATATTGAAGCAGGAATCTGGTGGCACATTACGAACATGTAAATACAAAAGTGTCCTGAAAATGTGTTTAAGCAATTTAAGTGATTGCTTCTGTTGTTTTTATTTATTTTTTTCTTCACCAAAGTATTCTAATAGTTATCCATACATATACTGTATCTTTTGCCTAAGCCTGTCTTCATTCCAGTAGAAATACTTAGTTGAGTACTCCAACACCTTACTTAGGTAGTGAATGAAAAAATTGACCCGCCTTGGGTTCTAACATGGAGCTATGTGTAACAACAGCTAGTAACACTACTCTTGTTTTTGCCTTTTTTTCTCCCCTCATTATTTAGCTCCTGAAGCAGATGTATGTTCTTGTACTTGGGTTAGATGTTCTTGGAAATCCATTCGGCTTAATCAGAGGCTTGTCTGAGGGAGTTGAAGCTTTCTTCTATGAGCCATTCCAGGTATGACTTCCTGATTCTTCAAGTGTATGTGAATAGTAGGCTGATGGAATATACTAGTAGGGCCGTAGTTTTGTTGTCACTATATTTATTCTACATGCTGAACAGTTAAAGCAGTAATTTTTTTGTTTTAACTTTAAAGAAATAACATATTCAAATAGACTTACTTTCATCAGTGTAAAGGAATTGCTGTTTTTTCTTGAAACAGACATATAAATTTGTAGGTTTCTGCTATTCATGCTAAGCTTCATTTTTAGGGTGCCGTTCAGGGACCTGAAGAATTTGCTGAAGGCTTTGTAATTGGTGTTAAGAGTCTTCTTGGACACACAGTGGGTATGTATCATATTGTTATTGTTTTGAATAATTAGGTTAATTCATGGATTGCTTTTAGATTTTTTTTTTTTCTTATTTTGAAGGGAAAGTTACATTTTAAAAATATCTACATGGTAATTTTTTGACGAGTGTCTAAGTTTGTCAGATAGTATTGCCAGTATTCGTGATACAGATCATTCACACTTAACTTACTTAACACCATTTAAATGTCTGTTTTCTAGACTGAGCAGGCAAACTGAGAAACATTGCATATATAACTGCCTTTGAACATCTTGCGGATGAATAAGGAAAATAATTCTAATGGCCCTAAAATGTTTGGAGAAGCCTGAGAAGTGTTCTTAGGACCTGCTACTGTTACAGTTACCTTAGATTTTTATTTACCTATGTGTTATGGTTAATGGAGAAAATGTGATTCCATCCAATATGCTACATAACATGTACTGAAGTAATTTAAGAGTTAGCTTTTGCTCTGTTTATGGATTTCAGGCCAGATTCTGGAGTCTTCTCATGGACAATATGTGGTAGTCACTCTCTGTAAATTTGTAACATCTAAACTGAATGCAAAGGGAAATTGCTAGGAACTTTGTGTCTGCTTGTGTGTTGTCTGCTGTTAAATTGTGAAAGAACAGTAACTTTTGCTTTCTGCCCTGTTCCATCAGGTGGTGCAGCAGGGGTGGTGTCTAGGATCACTGGTTCTGTTGGAAAAGGCTTGGCTGCTATTACTATGGATAAAGAATTTCAGCAGAAAAGGAGAGAGGAAATGGGTCGGCAGCCAAGAGACTTTAGTGACAGCCTGGCCAAAGGTGGAAAGGGCTTGTTACGGGTATGAATTTGAAGTTGAGGGTATGATGTGTCAACTCTTAATCCATGCTTGAAAATTACATGCAAGAAAGTTTGATAATGTCGTCTTTATCAGTTTGTGAACTAAACAGAAGAGACAAACAGGCAGTTGGTTTATAGGAATCTCAGTGTAGGGTATCAGCTTTAGTGTTTGAGGTTGTGGTTTCTGCCAACTTGAGGAATTGAAGGTAGGATTTCGGAAAGGAAAAGTGTAGGAAGTAACACCAATTTCTCCTGTGAGTTATATAAATAAACGAATAGTTACTAGTGTTCAACAAATGTGTTATCTAATTAAAGTAACTGCGCCCTTATTTTACCTTTCAGTCAATTCTGTCATTAAAGTCAGTTGGCTGTGAATTATGAGCTCTGGGCATGTGCTGCATAGTAGAAATGGCTTTCTATGTGCTGAGGTCTTATTAAAAACTGCTAGGTCTTCTTGACTTAAAAGAATGTGAACAAGACAAGTCGAATGTGTGTAAGAGTAAGTACCTACGTTAGATTGGAGGGATTTTTCTGAAACAGAAGCTGTGCAGCCACTGTATTTTTTTATAAGCTAAAATTGGGAACCTTTTCTGATTGCTGAAAGAGCACGTCTGTTTCTAGTTAAAATGTTAAATACGAGACAAACCTCATGTAAACAACTACAGAGCATTCTGTATTACCTGAATGCAAATAAAGTCTTCTAATAAATTCCATCACTTTCTATTCAACATAAAAAGTCAACGTACTTCTAAGTAACCATAAATAATAAACACTGTGGAATTGTTTCTCATACCGTTTGCTGAAAATTTGGAAGTTCCCACAGTGGATTTTTATTCTTCTGCCTTACTGTCATTAAACTACTTACCCTTTAAAGCCTTCCAGAGAGTTATGTGATGTTAATTTATCTTGAATGTTTGGTATCACTCACTCATGATGGGGAATTCTGGCAGCTTTCTGTTAGTATTGAAAGTGAAATAGCGACTTTAATTGTTACAAGACTGATGACTGTACAAAAGATTTGTTAGTCTTTCTTGCTAGCATAAATATTTCTTCAGCCACTTTAGTTTCCCTCTCTTTTTCTCAGTCGTAATTTTCTTAAAAATTTAAAGTAAAAAACCTAAAACAAACAAACAAAAACCCCACCAAAACCCCCAAAGTCCCCAGCCAAACAATGTTTCTGATATTGAACCCCATTGTAACATTTTAAAACGAAGAATGAGAGACAACTGGTAGCCCAGTTCCTGTTTCTAAGTAGGACCTTAATTCTCTTCTTCGTTTTAGGGTGTTGTTGGAGGTGTGACGGGCATAATCACTAAACCTGTAGAAGGTAAGCACTAAGATTGTACTTGCTTAAATCGTTTCCCAATACTTTACAATTTATTTTGTAATTTTTAGAAATTAAGCGTGATGATGCTGAAGTGTAGCAAGATTATATTTCTAAATCGAATGTGATATTATATGATGATTTACTCAAATATATTTATAGCTGTTAGTGGCTTACCACCTTTTGAGCCTTTGAATGAGTTAAGGTACAGTTGTCTTCGTGACATATTTATTAGGCCTGCTGTAGAACTCACTTTACTGTTTAAAGCCAGAATAAAGATACTAAAAATAATAAATTAAAAAGCACCAATTGAAATCGGTTTTGAGACTCCAGAGGTTGGTGAAATCTTAATAAGCAAATCTGCTTTTATGCCTGACATCAGTATTTGTTTTTGTGAAGACTGTCACTTTATCAGTATGCTAGATGATGAAAAAATCAAAGATAAAGTGCTTCTTATTAAAATTACTGTCAAAATGATTTAAATGTCAAAGTGATTTAAATGTTGGGAGTTACTGTTATTTTGTTGTATTTGATAGGTTATATATAAGTTAGATACTCTGAGGTGTAGTCCTTCTCGCACTGGTGGATGAACACATGTGCTTGGCTCTTCCATAGTTGTATATCACCAGAAACATAAAATTTTGAGATAGAAATAGTTAACTTGCATTATATCTGTGCATCTTTGAGTCTCCAGATTATGCTGTTATTACTGTCAACCTATAAAAACTGATACATTGGCCTACAGTCCAGACAAAGTGTGAGAAGGAGAATCTAGTTAACGTCTCGGTTATGCTGGCTTTGGAGGCTGGTTAGGTGTTAAGTGAACAGCAACATGTCTGAACAGACAAGGAAGCAATGTGTGACTTTTCACAGAGAACCTTTTTATAAGTGGATTGTATCTAATCAGTTGCTGTGAGCCTTTTCCAATACTAAACAGTTCTAGTGCAGCCTGAAGCAGTACTGATTTAATTCTGTGGTTAATGTCTTCAAGTAGGTCATTAAAACTATTTCTTCTTCTGTTCCTTTTCTTTTAAAGGGGCTAAAAAAGAAGGTGCAGCTGGATTCTTTAAAGGAATTGGAAAGGGGCTTGTAGGAGTGGTAGCCCGCCCAACAGGTGGCATCGTAGATATGGCAAGCAGTACCTTCCAGGGAATTCAAAGGTAAAATGTCAAGAGGAAGTTTTGAAGTACTCTCCGTGTATTAGATACCAGGTGGTAAAGTAGTCCAGTAGTGACACACAATTACTTGTGTTAAATACAATATGCAGTAGGATATATGGGCTGGAGAGATGGCCAGTAGCCCGTAATGAATGGTTTTTCTGATGATCTCTGGAAATTGCTGCTTCAGAACACATCTTGCAGTGTTGTATTTCAGGCAGATGATAACTAGTCCATTTTCTTCTTTCATTCCCTACCCTGATCAGAAAGTAATTAAAAGATCACGTGTAAATTTTACTTTTGAGGTAGCTTTGTGTACTGCTGAATGCAAACATCTAAATGTTATTTGAACTTACTGTAAAAAATAAACCATTGAAATTTTCAGAGAAAAACTTGCCACTGTGAAATTCAGTTAGCAGTGCACATCAGAGGCTTCTTGTGTTTTAAGGGGACCTTTGGAAAGCGTGTTAATAAACCTTTAGTAAATTATCCACGTTTGGGAGTAAACTTGTCCAAGTTATTCTGGAGCTGTCTAGTTGGCTAATGTTACTTTGGATTTATTACTAGCAGTGTGCCTTTTCTATTTACATCTGTAGGATGCCCCGGAAGTCTAAGTGGGATATGTGGCAAGTGAAAGGGTGACTTTTTAAAGATCTATTAGTGAAACTCAGTACTGTGGTAATCTTACCAGAATACTGTTCCACTGTCTATGGCAGGGTGGCAGAATCCACTGAAGAAGTATCTAATCTCCGTCCTCCACGTTTCATTCGCGAAGATGGCATCATCCGGCCATACGATAGGGTGGAAGCTGAGGGTTATGATTTATTTGAGGTATGACTTGCATTGTAAATACAGTTTAAATTCTCTAACCTACAGGGTTCCATAAAGAACTATGTTACAAAAAACCTGTCAGGGATCTGTGGCGGTTATCTGTAGTAATAATTTGTCCCAGCCTATTTCATGAGGCAAGCCTGTAGAGCAGAGAGGACTCAGTGCTTGTAGTGAGTTGAACGTGACAAGAAAACTGCAGCATTACTGTTAAATGATGTTCTGCTTGTTATGTTCTGTAATTGCTTATCTCATGCTCTGGAAAGAGGTAATAGGACTAAGAATTAGTAAGATTAAGATTTGAATATGTGGAAAAAAGAAAAACATTTTGATACTCAGTTCTAATGTTTCGCTTAATAACAAAGCTGAGGCTGGTTTACAAAGTAAGCGATTTTTAAATAGGTTGAATAGAGCTTGAATTGTTTGACATAGAATACAACTACTGAAATTCCTTTTTTTCTTTTTTCTTTTTTTTGTTTTCTTTTTGGTGGTATCAGCATTTGAAAAAAACCTGCATGAATTCTCAAAATACCACCTTTTGGTATTTCCTTATGTTGTTCTTAATAGCAATATGTCCTAGCTACAGGCATTGTGAGGACATTTAGCCTGCTTCCACATCTGGATGTGCGTAACATATGGAGGATGAATAGCAGTTGTTCTCAAGCCCTAGATGATCAGAATCCAGCTAATTTGTATTTCAGCCTTCACATTCTTAAAACCTACTTTAAAATACTTGGTTTGTTACTATAAAGTTAGAGTAGAATAACTGCCTACATTAACATTTTAAGACCAAAACTTGCATATTTGCTACTTCCTTCTAGATGTTCTTTTAATTCTTATTTCCTATTCTATTTCTAATGTTTCTCTTTCTCTTTCTCTCCTGGCATACGCAGCAAGAACTGGAATAACGGAGTAAACATTTTCCATATTTCTTCTCTATTTCTGTCATGGTCTTTTATCTGCCTTAAGTATTTAGATTAGGGGCATGATTACATTTAACATGGCCTCTCCCCTTCATTCATATCTTTTCTGTGTAGCAATTGAATAAAACAGTGTTTCATGTTGTCCAGGCTAAGAAAACAAACAAACTTGAATAACCATCTTTATTGAAGATGAGATGAGTGAGTAAAATGAGAGAGACAGGGAGGGTTTATTTCCTGTACATTTGTTTTTCTTACAATGCTTATTAGCTCCTTATGAATGACAACAACAGAAGACATTGTCAAAAAAAAAAAATCATGGTAGGGTAGACACTGAGTTCATTAATTTATTAGCATTTTCTTAGAGCTAGGGCTATGGATGAAGGGAGAAAGCAACATTTTGATACTTGTGCAAAAGTTAAAATAGTTATATCGAATGGAATTTTCTTCTGTGAAAAAGCTTATAATTTGATGATATAGAAATACTGTTTCCATATAAATGTTAAGAAAACTTGTATTTGTTATTTCTGTAATACGCCATAGGCCCGTCATTTATACATCTGATGAACCACCATCACTTCAAGTTACTACTATTACTACTTCTTTATGAAATTTTATCAATTAAAGAATATAGCCAGCTCTGGCTCTAGTTTCATTCACAGAATCTTCTGGGGCTTTGCTGTTCAACATACTTACATGTAAACTTTCAGCTGTTAAAATGAATTTACATACATATATATATATAT